ATGGTGAAGCTCACGGCGGAGCTGATCGAGCAGGCGGCACAGTACACCAACGCCGTCCGCGACCGGGAGCTCGACCTGCGCGGTGCGCGCCCCCCGCGGGGCGAGAGGGGCTGTGCTGGGAAGGCGGCGGGCGAGGGCGGAGGGCTGAGGCCCGGCTGTGTGTGTGTGTGTGGTGGAGCCTGGGGGAGGACTGTGTTGAATCCCTCACGATTCTGAGAGGCTGTGCTGGGGTTTGGAGGGTCCGTGATGGATCTTGCAATGGGGCCTGGCGCCTTCCGCGGCCGGAGGTGCCGAAGCAGGACGGGGAAGCCGCGGGGAGGTTGCTGGAGGGGCTGCAGTGGCCGGGGGTGGTTAAAGAGGCTCCAGAGGCTCCGGAACCTGCGGGGGATGCGAGGGAGCGAATTCCAGAGCGGTAGAATGGTTAAGTTTGGAAGAGAACCTAAAGATCATCCCTTCGCAACCGCTAGGACAGGGAGATGTAGGAGGCATGTGCTGTGGTGGGGGTGGGATGTGCTCCCAGCACGAGGGATGTCCCAGAAAGGTGGTTTTGCTGAGAGGGAGGAAGAAGGATTGAAAAAGCCGTGAGCGCTGTTTGGTTTGAGGGGGAGAGTCGATCCCGAGGTGTTTTGTCTGAGGTTTATCTTCATCCTCAGTCCGTCCAGATTTGCCCCCACACACTCTGCTTTGCTTTGGTCTGCTCTGCTGTGGGCACCATCTGACCCCTGCCTTGCACTCTCTCTCCAGGCTACAAAATCCCTGTTATTGAGAACTTGGGTGCCACTCTAGACCAGTTTGATGCCATTGATTTCTCTGACAATGAGATCCGCAAACTGGACGGATTCCCCTTGCTGCGGAGGCTGAAAACTCTCCTCATGAATAACAACAGGATTTGGTAAGGGGCTGTGTTTTAGCCTGATGGGACCCTGGGGCAGAGGAAAATGCTTTTGGGAGAGAGGTGTGTGTGTCTGTCAGTGCTGGGTAGGTGCAGGAGTGTTTGTTTCAGGCAGTAAAATCAGCACGGAGCACTGTGTGGGTCCTCTTTCAGTTTCTTTCCTCATACAGTGCAAAAGTTGGTGTTTGTTTCTCAGCCAGCACAAGGAGATGCAGAGTTTGGGATTTGGCCAGATCTTTGGACTTCAATAATCAGCTCCATAAAGACACAAAAGAAGGGATACCTGCAAGGGAATGGATTTAAATCTCAGATTGCATCTAATGTTCTTGCAGTGACATATTGCTAGCTTTGTTAGAAAAGTGTTTTGGATGCTCAGCCAAACTTCTGCTGGTGTCACAGTGGGTTTTTCACAGAGAGATCCTCTGTGTTACTGTGTTTCTCTGTGTATTTTCACCATTGCTAATTCCTGCCCTAAATGAAACCTTTGGTTTTTGTTCTTCAGTCGGATTGGTGAGAACCTGGAACAGGCTCTGCCCAGCCTCACAGAGCTCATTCTTACCAACAACAACATTGCTGAACTGGTAAGCTGTGATGCAGGATAAAGCTAAACAAGCTTAAAATTTGTGGTTTTCTTCTCCTTAATTAACTATTTGCCTGAGAGTAGTGCCATGTGCTTTTGGTAATAGTTGGTTCTTTCTCTTTAGAGCAATATCCTGTAGTTTTGGCAGTAGTTAATGGTGTACATGCTTTAATGAATGTGATTTGCTTCATGCAGTGGAACAGCAGTCACAAAGCTTAGTGGTTTTCCTATTAAAATAATTACAGTAATTTAATTAATCTCTAAAAGAGATACAAATTCAGGAACTTTGTTTTCAATTATTTGATTTTTCTGCTAAAGGGGATTAAAATTTCTTCCTGTCTTCCCTTCACTCAGGGTGAACTGGATCCGTTATCAACTATTAAATCATTGACTTACCTGAGGTATGTAACCCCAGAAAGAAAAGCTGCTCTTTCTCTGGTGTCTGAGCTCTGCTGCTGGCCTGGCCCTTTGCTTTGGTCTGGAGTGCTCTGCTTTTTATGAGCTGTGACAGATCCTTTAAGTCTAAAAATTGAATTGATAAACAGTGTTTCCTCTACTCTTCATAAACATCTGGTAATTATTGTCTGAGGTTTTATGTACTGTTTTATATATATATAATACTGGTTTTATAGACTGTTGGGATAATGAGATTAACATCTCTATAAACCAATACACAAGTGCTGAAGTGAACTTAACCTTTAAAAACCTAAAACCAAAAGGTTTAATTGGTTGATTAAAAAAAATAGTTTAAAATACATGCAAACAAGGCCTTTTCAATAGTATCACATTTGGTGTGAGGGACAGAGAGGAACACAGCTTGCCCTGTGATTTTTCAATTGTTCAGTGTCCAGATAAGAAAAGTGATGTTTCAATTATTTTTCGGGGGAGTATTATGATTATTTTGAGGTTGATCTTAATGTTGTCCTTCAGTTAAATCTACTGAATTGCTAAAGTGCAAGTTTTTACTACAGTTTCCATAGTATCAAAAAACTGTCAGTAGGCTTATTTCATGGTGTTATTTGTTATCTGTTGCAGCAGGAAGTATATGAATGCATTTCAAGTATATTAATATATTTCAATACAAGTGTATTTTAAAATATTTTGTATTGAGAGCCTCTTTATAACCTTTATTTATTTCACAGCGTTCTAAGGAATCCTGTAACAAATAAGAAACATTACAGATTATATCTAATTCATAAAGTTCCCCAGGTCAGAGTGCTGGATTTTCAAAAAGTGAAGCTCAAAGTAAGTCTGCTTGCTTTTGATTTAGGGGTTTTTGTTTGTTTGTTTGTTTGGGTTTTTGTTTTTATTTTGTTTGTTTGTTTCATTCAACATTTCATGTTGAAAATTCACCATGAACAGTGGTCTTGTAAATTTTATTGAAACTCTGTAAGTGGGTCTACAACACTCTCATTGTTTCCTTTCAAGGTTTCATTCTGTTAAGGATAGAATCTGTTTAATTATGTTTAATTAAGTTTCAGTGCCTTTGTTTAGTGTTACTCTTTTCTGTGTCTCTGGTGTTGGTAGGAGACACCTTTAGAGAAAGAAATGAGCAAAAACACCACAGCCTTCAGCTCTGGTGGGGGGTGAGTGTGGGAAAGAGCTCTTCGTTCTAAGAGCATGAGGTTGATACATCTTTGAGTGTTTGGGCAATGTTTATCTGCTTGTTCTTGCATCTGGTCTCCATGTACCAATTTCACTGATGAAGATGAGCCAAAGTGTCTTTCTTGGCCAAGACAGAAAAGCTTTGCAAACTGTGATGTTCTCAAATTAACTTTGTGTGTGTGTGTGGTATCGCTGTAGGAGCGACAGGAGGCAGAGAAAATGTTCAAGGGCAAACGGGGTGCACAGCTTGCAAAGGATATTGCCAGGAGAGCAAAAACGTAAGATAAAACAAATTTACACTGGCATCCTCCTTCAGAAACACCACTTTCTTTGTGTGCAGTATCAGGCAGAAAACTGAAATATCAGCTGCTGGCAGGATGCCTCAAAAGCTTTGGGATCCAGAAGTGCCTTGTCCAAGCACCCCGAGTTTTGGATGGTGGTGAATACATCTCAGAAATGTTTCTGAAAGAGAGAACTTGTTCAGGGTGGATTCACTGAAGTCAACAATCAGGAAACCTTAATTTTATTTTTGTTATTTAACTGCAGAGAGGTGGCCATTATTTAATTTGTGTTTGGTGGGGCTTTTCTCCTAGATGATTGGTAACTAAATTATTTTGTTTTGCCAGGGAATAAACTGCAAAATCTGCTGTAGTTAGGAGAAGAAATACAAATGAAAATCTTTAATTAAGCTATTAGAGTGTATGTTTAATTAGTTTAATTGTTAAGTGGTACATCGTATGTTTTGATTAACCTATTTGGTAATAAGAATTCAGATCATGTGTGGCAACAGCATTTCCAAATTAATGGTTAAATAGAAAAATGTCTTAAACTTATTTAGCATTTAAATCTATAATAGATGGATTTGAGCTCGAGTTTGTGAGTGGAAAGGGATTCAGGTCTGTGACAGTTCTAGAATAAGCAGGTGATTTTCCTTAAAGCAGCAGCAGCAGATAACCTTTTTCTTTTGACCACTTTAGTGCAGGCTTTACTTTAGGCTGTTGTAATATCTTATTCGACACATGGGAACAGAAAACCCATTTTCAGTTAGTCTTTATTTATCCACCCTGCTTTTGTAATGGCAACAGACCAGCTGAGTGTTCAACAACATCCAAACCAAAGAGCTTTTGTCAGCTGCCTGATGAATAAAGTTAAGTTCTGCCTCTGAGCAGATGAAAAGGTGGGGGGGAGTAATGGGACAGTGAGGACAAGTTGCTGGTGTTTCTGAAGGAGGCAATTCTTCACTGTATCAGTTTGTTAACAGAGATAAGATACTACACTTGATGGAATGAAATGCTTTCAAACCTAGTTTGGAAGCATTTCAAGTTAAGAGAAGCAGCTACTCTTCAAAAAGTGTTAACAGGTCTTTTTTTTCCTTTTTAAGCTTCAATCCAGGAGCTGGGCTGCCAACAGACAAAAAGAAAACTGGGCCCTCCCCAGGGGATGTGGAGGCAATTAAGGTAAATATGGCAGGAGAAAAGTGGAGGAGGAAAGCTGCCATGGATCCAAATTGAACAAATATTTCCTTTGTGCTATTCAGACAAATAGATCGGCATGTCCTGTCTCTGGTTTAGGTTCTTTTTCTGTAAGTTTTCTTCTGACCTACCTGTATTTTGAAAACTTAAGTGAAATGTTAACCTGAGTTCTTCTAAGAGAGGGGGAGGTAATGATTTGTTTGTAGAATTTTCTAGAACTAGAATTTAGTAGAACTTCCATAGGCGTTCAGCATCACTTAACTGGTAGAAATCTGGGTTTTGTGTTTATTCTGAGCAGTCTGACACAGGGTGTGTGAGGATTCACTGAGTTCTCTGTTTCTCAGACTGCCATAGCAAACGCCTCGACCTTGGCGGAGGTGGAGCGGCTGAAGGGATTGCTGCAGGCGGGACAGATCCCCGGCAGGGAGCGGAAATCAGGTCACTCTCTACTTCTGCTGCTCTTCTTTAAACAGAATCCACCTCTCTTCCTTGATTCCTGATGCTTTATGTGATCTCTGTAGGGAGTTGGGTAGAAAAAGTGGGAGTTTGTCATGTGTGGAGCACACCCCTGGCTCTGTGTGATCTGCCTGGCCTTGAGTGCAGCTCAGGGCTGTCACCTGCACTCCCTCCAGAGCAAGGTGCCAAACAAGGTGCTTTGCTGCACTGTATGACTCCAAAGTTCATCCCAGTTATTGAACAAAATGAAATTACAGAGTCTCTCTGGACCTGTGCTGAGCATCAGTGTCTCGGGTGTGGGTACAGCAGTGAGTCTGGGAGCCCTGCAGAGATGTGTCTCAGCTGCAGGCTGGCCATAGCACCAGTTTTCTGTACATTGAGGCTACCTGGATTTCCTGTTCTGTAGAGCTCTTAAACGTTCCCTTTATAACTCTTCTGCAGAGGGGTGGGGAAAGAACAGCAGCGTCTGCAGCAGCTGCCCTAAAACTCTGACGTGTCCTTTCAGGCCCATCGGAGGACGGCGAAGAAGAAATGGAAGAGGACACAGTGCCAAACGGATCGTAGCCCGGGCCGTGCCGCGCTCCGGCCCTCCCCAGGAGCCCTTTCCTGTCCCATTCCTGTCCCCGGCAGGGCCCCATCGCTCCCGTCCTCGCGCATTTCGCTGTTCAATAAACGAACGGTCCCTTTTTCTCCCGGTGGTGCCGCATCCGCTTCCCGCCCGGGGGGGGCCGGGGGCGGGCTCGTGTGCACCCTGATTGGCCGCCTTGCGCCTGCCTCCCTTCTCTCATTGGCCGGCGCAGCCGCACGTCACCCCGGGCATTCGGCCAGCGGCGGCG